GAAAGGAGAAGAGAAAAATACATGGCAATATGTTTATCTTGATAATGTTCTCCATTTAAGCAGATGTATCTGTCTCATAAAGACGGGAGACGAGGCTTTATCTGAGAGGGCAATTAAGTGGATGCTTAAGACATGGACTTCATTTGACACAAGTTCTACATGTATGTGAGCCAGATAGAAAAAAATGCATGTAGAAGTGTTATTGAAAAGATTTGATTAAATTGCACCAAGTCCCAGCTCTAGCTGTTTCCATTTAAGGCTTCCTCAATACATGTGTCGCCCCAGTCAATACGTGCATCTATTGATTTTGGATTACTTTTCTAAATCCCTATTTTTGCAAGGTAGTCGCATTTCTGCCTGGGCCCAGAAGAAAAATGCTTTAGAATGAAAATCAAATCTCTTGGGTAAATGTCAAATAATGCAGAATAAGGACTTAAAGGCTGATTTGGAAATAATAGGTCTATGTTAATGGAGTCCTCTTTTCGAATTCACATGCTTGAAAATGTGATTATGATGTCTGGAGAACATGGATAAAAAACACACTTTGCACAAGCTTCTCTGAAGAATAATGCAGTAGGGTTGACATTGATTTTAGAGATGTTCTGGTTTGGATTTGAAGGTTATCTTTGTGCTTCCTGCCCTCCTCTAATAGCTCAAGGCACTCAAGTCAAAAGAAAATAAAATGCCTCCATTAAAGAAAAACAACAACAAACTTATTTTTTTTTAGAGATTAATCCAAACTAAACCAAAGTCTGACAGTATCAAATATGAATTCACTGAAAAATACTTAGTTACTAGCGATAAATATATTCATATTGGTACAGATATTCCTGGGATTTCAAATTCTGACAAATACCTCAAACCAGTCTAGATTCTATAGGGAATCTAGCAGTGCTTCACTGCTAAAGGGAGATGAATTCAGCATAGTAAAGCCCTTTCAGTTAGATCCTGAGGCTGAGGCAAGTTTTACATAAAGAACAAATGAATATAAAAACTAAGTATAGACTTCAGTGTTCAATTCAACAGCTGTATGACTGTACACATTAAAAAAAAAAACCCTAAGCTAAAGGATGAATTGAATGAAGGATATCCTATAAAACCTATTAATACAATCATAGCCACTTCTAAACAGTTTACAAAGAAAAGTTTGAAAAAGCAGCCAAGTTGCTGGCTGTTCAGTAAGAGAGTAAAGCTTCCCACCCGCTCCGCTTTGGCTCAGGAAGGGTAACAGCATGGCATTCATCACTAGTCCTCAGCAGATCCTACACAGAAACAAGCAATTACAGCAATAAAGAAGCATAAATTCTCTCCGTACAGATGCCAATATTTCAGGCCCCAAGAAGAGAGCAGAAATGCGCTCTCACAAACAGCTATGTTTCTGAGGTCCTACATGCTTACTTAAACATGGATTTTCTCCTCCACATAATTGCTCAGCCTATACTTTCCCCTATTACACGTTCTGTTGAAATAGCAAGGCCAAGTGGAAACCTTGTCCTGAACTAGTCTGGTTCCCCTTGTCAGTGGGCGCTTATCACTTTCACTTGTCCTAGTCTCATTTCTGTTTTTACCACTGTGTTGCCCAGGAGCAGAATCAGCAGGGCTGAGGTTTAAGATGCAGCTACATGCGTGTGATCCCACACTCGTGCTGCTGTACTTATTTTTATTCCCATTCAATAGACGGGTGGCACTTCTGCATGTGAAGCAGAATCTCAGTTCTGCTGAAGTCTAAAGAAATTTTGCCATTGGCTTCAGTGGGGAATGTTAACTGTGCACGAAGTGGAGAACATGTCTTAGCACATTTGATTTACATCTACAAACATGAAATATGATGACTGGTAATTAGAAAGTAAATGGTGATTCATATTCTGTGTTAAACTTTTCCTCTTTCGTGGAAGTTAATTTGATAAAATTAGTAGTTTCTGTAGAGACATTCTGTTCTGAAAATACTTCAACAACTATCTGAACTAACTGGAGCCTTTCTTTTCTTTTCTGAAAGGGGAGGGAGAGAGTTGATTTGCGGCTCTTTTTTTAAAAAAAATCTCAGAGTATATTCCAAAAATACTTATTTACATAAAGAGAAAGAAACTGTGGATGCCTGTCTGCTCTAAAGAAATTAAACTTCTTATATAACCTCTGAAGTTCTGGATCTAGGATTTTTTACAATGTAAGTACCAAAGTAGCATGGAAAGTTCTGTCTCAGTAAGCTTTCCAGACCAGGTTTTCAAAACTGAATTGCTGAAATAAGTGCTAAATGATAAATGCTGTATTTTTAAATGTCTATGAAGATTTAAACTAGACTCAGTGTTTAGAGCACACATTACTGCCCTGCATAGCACTTCTATCTTAAATAACAAGGCGCTGGAAAAAGAAAGATTTAAAGTCAAAATGTTTCCGGGAGATACTTAATATAAAAATTTTTCGCTTTCTCACTTACGATTGAGTATTAGGAGACCAGCTACTCCAAAGTTAGATAGAACAAAATTAATGGGGAAATGTGCTATTGAAAGTGTTAAAGTTCTCTACTGGAGTTATCTAAAGCAGAAGAGACTCCTTATGTAGCAGGGAACTATTTCAAGCATGTTCGTTAAACATGGAGTCTTTCCTACAGTTTTCTCAGAACTCATTTTTTGATCAAGTTATGATCAAGGCGAAGATCATGCCTCCACTGAAATTATCATGGGTTTGCTACCAACCTGAAAGGACATTACAAGAGAAGCAAGATTTAACCTTTCCTCAGTTAATTTCTATATTACTGGGTTTGATAGATTGAAGAAAAGATAAAGAACAACAAGGTGATCCATAGTTAGACTAAATCTACTGTTTAGGTTCTCTTTAGTCTGACTATACAGCATGTCTGTGACTGTGCTGGTCACTGACTGTTTAAATATTTTCTTTCCCTTGCAGGCTCAGTCCCACAATGCTTGTAGCCAAGGACTGTGGGATAACAGCAAGCGCTCGTTGAAAGCAACTAAAGGTTAGTAGAGCAAGGAAATTACATATTTTCATCAATTTCAAGCAGTTCTATAGCCTCTCCCATGACTTCATGCTCCAGATAGACTGAAATCTTGCAGCAGCAGCCTGTGGAAGAAGGGAGGAAGCAGCAGCTAAGAGACAACAGAGCAATTAGCCACAACTCACTGTCACTTCTGTGCATTTTGGCAGCATTTCAATAATCTAACAAAACCACTGAAAACATAGCCTGACTCTAAATTGTTACTGGCTTTTTGAAGCATTTAACACTCGTTTTGCTGAAAAAGAATCAGATACATAAGATGAAGGACATTTGAGGGACAGACCATGCTGTTAAGGGAGGATTTAGATGTACAGGTACATTTTATGTCCAGATTGTATGAGTTTAACATCGCTTAAAATGAATTTTAAAAAAATGTTCCTTTTGAAAAGCACTGAAGTCTTTATGATAGTCAAAAGATTCCCTTCCTCTACTCATTTTATAAGCCAGACCTTATTACTCAAAGAGTAATTTATATACACACACACACACACACACTGGCAATCATTGAGCTAGGAATTGAAATTATTATTCTTCAATTATTATTCTATTTTTGTGTATCGATTGATTCCCATTACTATATCTTTGTCCAAAATTCTCCATCTTAAAGTTCTATCACTGAACTATTGGCTCTACCCAGCATCTCAAAGACAATTCCAGATCTATCTTATTAAATAGGAATGATATTTTTGTGAGCAGATTTTTAAGGCGCCTTCTCTTGCTCACAGCCTAGCTAGGGTGCAGAGATCATCTTTTATCTGTCTTTAGAAGCAGGTCTACCCAGTATGGGGCTTCCTAAAAAAAGAAACAGGAGTGTCTATAGTACTCTAACCATCTTCAAGCTCTCCACCCAATTTTTCCAAGCATGGTGTTATAAATAGCACCAACATGTCAGAGGTGGCACAGGGAAAATGTGTCTAGTTTTCTAGCCCAAGCTCCTCCTGGTTGCACAGATGCACTGCCTGTACCCAGACACACATGCACACATTCATATGGAGTATCCCTAGAGAGCCAAGGCAGAAGGCGGGAGCCTTATTTAAGATGAAACAAAATTGATATCCAATAATTCAGCTGAACTCCAAAATCAGGAGGAGTTCCTGGCACAATCAGAGGAACACAACATTTTGCCAGAGAAGTTCATTGCTCTGCCTTGTCCCAGGGTATTGCTGGAAAGGATCTAGGACTTCTCAGGTGTTAGTTACTCCAAAGAGCTGACAGGTTGTTGAAATTATGCTATATTTTAGTTTTGCAGTCAGGTTTTTTCCCCCTTTTTAGATTAAGTCTAAAAAACTGAATGGAGTTCAGAGAGTGGTTAAAGGCCTTTCCTTCCCCAAATCTGCCAGGTAAATATCTCTGGGCTTAAAACAAAGAAAATAAATGAATCCCCACCTTCTTATTACAATACAGAGTGAGAGAAGCCAGGAAGCACAGTGCAAAATCTGATGGTACACAGTGTCCTTAGATCCCTTGGCTATTGTTTTCTCTCACAGCAGCACATGTTAATGATACAAAGAAGCTTAATTTTTTTTGGCTTTGACTTTTCATGTCACAGCCATAATAAATGTGCACATTATTGTTTGTACTGCCATATCCTTTAGATGCACCACCAACTTCTAGAGCCTGAGCAGGCACAGCCAAGGACGGGATTTTGCCCACAAATAGCCTGGCTGAATTAAATTAAGTGTAAATATTGCCATACAGATTCAGCTGCTAAGTAGTTGGTCCATGTTTACACTGCAAAGCTGTTGTATGAGCCAAACTTGATATAACCCACCGATTCTACCATAGGAAGAGCAAAGCTGCTTTGTTCTCTCCCAGCCAATTTATTTCTGCTTTAAAAGATTTACACCTTACATGGGTCTAATACTGCCTTAGCTGCACTTAACTAAAACAAAACAAAAAACAATCTTGAAAACAATAAATGATAACTTATAATCCCAGGAGAACAGGAAAAAATAGATTTGTTTGTTTGTTTAAAGGCACTTTGACAATGCAGAAGAAATTAAATATGCTGAAGAACGAAGAAACAAGTTTTAATGTGGAGAGTGCGCGAGCATCTCCTTCCTGCTGCCTGCCCCCGCTGAGCCCTGTTACCAAGCTCCACCGAACGGCTCTGTTTGGTGAGGAATTCAGGTCGCACCTCTCACATTTCCACTATGGTCCTCCTCCTCTTAGAGACATGGAAACTTTTCAGGGCTTGCTGGAAGGAGGGTCTCAGAAACGCAAGAGCATGCCAACCAAAATGCCTCCATCTGTTACTCCTGAAGGCTCCTCGTTGCCACCCCACAGGCCTGAAGACCATCATGATATAGGCTCTTCCAGTCTCCCTTTGATGTTTCAACAGCCAGCACAGCCCAGGTACAGTTCCCAGATGATTGACCTCTGCAACTTTGGTTTCCAGTTCTACAGGATGCTGGAGCACTTTGGAGCCAAGCCCATCAAGCAAGAAGCATGGCCCAGTAGCCCGGCATTCATGCAGGCTCCTTACTCGTATTATCCTAAAGTCCATCCTAGCTTAATGCTTCCTTTCATTGTGCCCCCAAACTTTCATTTCAGGAACACCTTTCAAATGAAACGGCCTTCAGAGCCATCCTTCAGGAGGGCTGAAGTAAGAGAAAGTGGTGAAAATAAACAGAAAGTGGAAAGAGTAGATGTGAACCTTCAGATAGATGACAGCTATTATGTTGATGTGGGGGGCGAGCAGAAGCGCTGGCAGTGTCCAATGTGTGAGAAGTCCTACACATCCAAGTACAATCTGGTCACCCACATCTTGGGGCACAGCGGCATCAAGCCACATGCCTGCACGCGCTGCGGCAAGCTTTTCAAGCAGCTGAGCCACCTGCACACACACATGCTGACGCACCAGGGCACCAGGCCGCACAAGTGCCAGGTGTGCCACAAGGCCTTCACTCAGACCAGCCACCTCAAGAGGCACATGATGCAGCACAGCGACATAAAGCCTCACAACTGCAGGATCTGCGGCAGGGGCTTTGCCTACCCCAGCGAGCTGAAGGCGCATGAGGCTAAGCACGAGAGCGGCCGAGAGAACATCTGTGTGGAGTGCGGCCTGGACTTCCCAACGCTGGCCCAGCTGAAGAGACACTTAACAACCCATCGCAGACCTATACAGTACAACTGCACCGAATGCGACAAGACCTTCCAGTATCCCAGCCAGCTGCAAAACCACATGATGAAGCACAAAGACATTCGTCCCTACATCTGCACTGAGTGCGGCATGGAGTTTGTGCAGTCCCACCACCTCAAGCAGCACTCCCTGACGCACAAGGTAAGTCCTCCCGCGGCGTGTGGGCCCGTGCAACGAAAGGCAGCCCAAGGAGCACAGGCCACCAAGGATACACGTAGGTCCTCAGAAAGGTCACCAACCCACAGAGCATCAGGTGGCCCTTTGCCAGCGGAAGAGTTTTGTGCAAAGGCACTGGCAATCACAGAAAGCAGATGTCTCCATCAGTCTTAAAGTACATGCACAAACATGTTATTACAAGCAGGAGTTTGACTGCATCACTTCCCAAAACTGTATTTGCCTCTCTGTTTCTGGGTTTTATCTTCAGAATGACCTTCTGTAAAATAAGATAACTTCATAGAACTGTCTAAACACGTTGAAATAGCAACAGGAATTTTCTACTGAAAAGCAAACCTATTCCTTTGCTTCCCTTAATTGGGAAGTAGGTGGATATGCAGAAGGCTGCCTATTTGCAGCAAATGTATTATTACTCATCAGATTTTGAAGAATCATTATAATGTGACATTTAGAGAAAAAAAAAAGTCTCCTTTCTGTGTAAGTTATCCAGAATATCATCTAACAGAACTGAACAAACAGGACTATACCCCTCATATCAAGTGGCAATCTCACCATTACTGTCAGAATGCTTCAGACTAAGGGCAGGTTGTGGAGCACATGCACAAAGATCACTTTGAAAAACAGGAAAAAAAAAACAGAGTTCCATCCAAGAACATCTGAAATAAGTTTATCTGTTTTCAAAAATATTATAAATACAAATCAAATAATGAAAATATTAAGAATACATAAAGCTACAGCATTTTGATTTTGTAGACTTTTTTTTTAAGAAAAACGCTGCCTCTACTTCCACGTTTGCTTTTTCTTCCCTTTACACTATTATCATTTCTGCTCTTTCTGGAGATTCCCTGATCTTTGGATTTACCATACATAATTCTGCTAACTAAAACCTGGAAATGTTTTTGAAAATGCCCTTGGGCCCTTTGAGAACTTCTGCTTCTTTGTGTGCAGTTGCAGGTGGCTTCATCTGTGAACATAATTAACAGGACTTAGCTGCCCCAAGGCAGCCTCAGATTGCAGGGGCAGACACTTAAAAGGTGCTGGCAGTGCTCTCAGTCATATGATGCTATTAATTCTGTGAAAACAAGTAGCTGGCACAAGAGGAGAGATCCTTACCAGTCATCCGTGGTTATAGGGCCACAGGAGGAGTTACTGTTATAGGCAGTTAACTACTACATCCTCATCACTTGCAGCAAGTACTCAGACTTGCTATACTCAGACTCTTAAAGTGGCAAACTCATTGATTTTCATGGCCTCTAACTGACTTTTTAAGTAGCATTTTGACTGTTAGGCTACATGGGTGTGATGAGCATGCTGAAGTGCATGTTGGTAAGGTGGCAGGGGGGCATACAGAATACCAGGCATCACTGAGTATCACTGAACCCCTGAGGTTCAATCACCTTAGGCAAGCATGGCCTTAGTCTCTTGACTGGGTAACTCTTATTCTTGGTCAATAATGTACATATTTGACCAATACTTCACATAAGCAAATCAACAGAGAAGATGTCTGTTCATCCACAGAGAAAGCAATGGACTACGTCATGTTGCTTTGCAAATTTGCTGCTGAAATAAACCTCATTCTTGCAATAAGCTTACATTTTGTTTTCCTTTTCTGCTTCTCACGTTCTTAGGAGAAATTGCCAAGAAAAGAATACCTAAGTATCTATTGCATGAGCAAATTATATTTTAAACAAAATAGGTTATTACCTGCTTTTGTAGTGCAGAATATATATTGCTATACTCAAGATGAAATGGATTAGAAAATGAATTTCTTGATTGAGTTTTCTTTGTCTTTCTTTCCTTACAGGGTGTGAAAGAGCACAAATGCGGAATTTGTGGCCGGGAATTTACTCTGCTGGCCAACATGAAGCGACACGTCCTGATCCACACCAATATCAGAGCCTATCAATGTCACTTGTGCTTCAAGAGCTTTGTGCAAAAGCAGACTCTCAAGGCCCACATGATTGTTCACTCTGATGTCAAACCCTTTAAATGCAAGGTGAGTGTCTCTCCTTTGGTGGCACAGTCATAAACCCCTGGGTATTTCCACAATGTTATTATCTGTGATATGATAGGACTAGGAAAGCAAGACACATTCTAATAATACACTTTAAAATCATATTTAAATTAGCATAAAATAGTAGTCTGGCTTCTTAGTCTAGGTTTTGCTTAGTTGGCCCAAAAGAAGGGAGGCAATGTCTATGATTTACCCCCTTCCCCTTCAATATCAGTAACTTCCCTCTTGAAATACTGGCTCTGCTTAGTGAGTGTTTAAACGCCACTGTCATTTCAGAACAATAAACATACCTGACATTTGCTTAGTACATCCATCCAAACAGCAGTCTAAGTGCTTAATAGCTTGAAACACTGTTGAAATGCACGGATCAATCTGCACACGCCACTGAGTGCAGCGGTGACACAGCAGCTGCCACCGCCGCCACTTCACACGCTGACGCCAGGCCAATGGCCAGGGTTGGCTCTGAGAAAGCCACCGCTGAAGAGAGCTGCAGAAAGGATCTGAATGGACCAAATGTAATTACCAGTCTGAAATTCAGGGCAGGACATCAGTCACCTAACAAAATGGCTCTCTGAGAAACACATCCTGCCTTTCTAGGCTCCCCTGGGAGGGCAGGATTTCTCCCTCCCTCCCGCAGAGTGCAGATTGACACTCTCCATCCATCCCCTCTTCCCTCCCCATAAACTTGGGAGGCTCTGGCTTCCCTCATTCTGCTCATCTCCAGTCTCTTCCTTATGAATTATTAAAGTTCCTTTTCACACCCAGTACTGGGCACCACATCTGCTCTTTTTGCTGCCTGTGTGGTTCGTTAGTGCAGCCATACCTTGTGAAGCCAAAGGTTGCCATTTATTTCCCCACTTTGATCTGCTCTAAGAGGACTATAAATACGAAATGCAGTGTATTATACAGTTTATGCATAAGTGATTGAAGGTTGATCTGGAAGCAATTTCTAGAACTCTTTCATCCAACATTGTCATAGGATTAAATATTTTCTTAAAAGGAATCTTTCATCGAGAAGTAGAGCTAGATGAAAATTCTAAAATGGAATTACTTTCTCTTGGAAAATGGAGAACTTCAAAATGTCATAGGAAAGTAGGGTTTCCACTGATAATTTTTTAAAGACAATGTCAAAATGAATCTTCTTGACTTCATTTTGCTTTGATAACATTGAAGCTTTTTACTTTGAAAAAATAAAAGCAAAGGCTTTCAATGATAGCATTTTGTTTCCTCTTAGCTTATATCCTAGTAAAATGTTATTTTGTATACTAGTGCTTATGGTGTTCTACATAGGTAAATAATTTCTATTATTGGAATACTTGGATATTCCCGTGTCAATACCTGCAAACTCCTGTTTTGGTTCCCATTTGGACAAAACCCACCTCTGACCCATGCGATTTCAGAACAGAAAGGCAATGATTTGATCGGCCGTTGCAGAGGCCGTGTCTGGACCCATGCTGCTTGTGAGATTTGTGCCAGTTGGCTGGCAGCTAACATTCAGGATAGGACTTGATGATGACAAGCTGCTGAAACGTGAGATGCCAGCAGGGTAACCCAGGCCCTACAGTGCCAGCTTTTTTTCCCAGCCAGTAAAGCTCTGCAGGAGCACCTGCTTTTCTTTCTCTTCTCTGTCCCCACCCAATGTCCCAAGGAGAACAGAAGTGGGTGAGCTTACCCACGGGTAAGCGGGTGAACCTGCCTGCACCTGATGTTAATGAACCCCTGCAGCAAGCAGGGTTCTCAGCTGCCAGCAAAGGGATAATCGGGAATTGCGCACTGGCCTTTGGAAGAACCTTTGCCTCCCTGGCGGGGTCCTTCAAAGAGAGGAGCAAGCGTCTCTGGCTGGTATTCAGACGGTTAAGGCAATGACCAGATAGCAGCCTTTTGGCACCGGGCTCCTCCTCGGCAGAAGGAAGGATATAGCTGTATGAACAGGCTGCTTAACAATGGCTCACATGTCCTCGGGGAGCCGCCTGCAAATAGATTTCATCTTGCTTTCTCTTGTACTTTTCAAAGCTTCCTGTTTTCTCACGGTCCTTTTGGACAGTTTACAGTCTTTCTCCCTCTCTCTTTGAGGAAAGGAACACCCTTCTTATGAAGAAAAAAATAAAAAGAAGAAGAATGCAAGGGAAAGGGAGCACAGCAGTAGCCTTTCTACTTCACCACATGCCACGGTTTTCTTTACCTTTTTCTCACAGCAAAAGAAAACACGAGGCTTTCCTATGTGTCTAATCACAGCTGAGCACGGACTAACTGAAGCGAGCGCGTAGCAAAGAGTTGTCCCTTCTGTTTCCTCATCCAGCTGCTGCGTGAATCTGTGCAGGATTTTGCTCTGGAGAGTGAATGTCTCCGTAGGTTTTAAGGGCCCGAGCCCACGTGTCCTGCTTTATTTTTGCTTTAAGCAAAACATTGGAGAATTCTGAAGCAGTTGCAGCAAGCGGTGCGACAATGTAGCTCTGATTTGCAAAGAAAGCTCCTCCTGAAATTTATAGTTGCTTTTAGTGCTGAAGTCAATAACGTTTCAGACTAGTAACAGGGATATAATGATGTTTTCTTGAGCCCAGCCAACTGTACTTTGCAGCAGACAAATCTGAACCACCTTGCTCCTGTAAATATGCAGTTATCATAGAATCATAGAATCATAGAATGCTTAAGGTTGGAAGGGACCTCTAGAGATCATCTAGTCCAACCCCCCTGCACACGCAGGGTCACCTAGAGCACGTGGCACAGGACTGC